GAAAGATATATGCTCTATACTCACAAGTACCTACATAACGCACAAGTACGTGAATACATCTATCTACGCACACACATAAACAAGCACAGCTAAACAGGCAGGAGGAAAGATCCATGTATATATACTCTATACTCACAAGTACCTACATACACTACAAGTACGTGAATACATCTATATCTACGCTCACACAGAAGCAAGCACAGCTCGAAGGCGCCAGCACAGACGTCCGCAATGCCACACGAGAGTTGGTTAAGGCCGCGAAGATGGCAGGCGAAATGCTGGCGGAAAGTCAGAAGAAAACGTACGATACGCTTTCAGACAACCAGGCCAAACGCGCAGAGATGCAGAAGCAGATCAAGGTAAGTGAGCACTGGTGGGACTATATATAAAATAAAACCTATGAAATGCAAAACGTACAATACGTTTTCAGACAACTAGGTCAAACGCGCAGTGACACAGACGTATATGAAGGTAAAGGTGTATTAGATGATTTTCCTGAGTTATCATAATATGTAGTGAGAGGGAACGTGTATGAAACGTTTTTAATAGACGTTCTGAGTCACAGTCACTCACCAATACACAATCCGTTTCAACGCATACATATTCTCGGGCACACAGGCACTGGAGTTGGAGAAGGAACTGGAAACTGTTCGAAAGGATCTGTTCTCACTGCGAAAGCTTAACTACAATCGAGACACGACTAAGGGAATGAACGACGGCACAGCACCTCCCTCATGAGAGAGCTAAAGCCATGGGTTACACTAACTATAGGTTATAGGACGGTGTTTAACGCCTGTCTCATGTGATAACTATGGCTATAGGTTACAAGGTTACAGGAGAGTGTTTAAAGCCTCTCTCATGAGATAACTAAGGCTATAGGTTACAGGAGGTGTTTATATTTATAGGCCGTGGATGGAGATGTACGTGAGGATAGAATCCTGTAGAGAGACATAACAATAAAGCCAGAATACGGGATGACTTGTGTGGTATCGAAGGCTTTATCGAAGCATGGAGATGGGGAGGGAATGGGGTAGCGATACACAACGTGTTACATTTAAAGACACACCTCTGCATGGCTACACACGAGTGAAGCGGTACAGTACATACATAACAGATGTATAGTTAAGTACATACATAACAGATGAATAGTATAGTACGTACAGAACAGATGTATAGTAACGTACATGCACAACAGATGTATAGTATAGTACGTACATAACATATGTATAGTGAAGTACATACATAACTAATGTATAGTAAAGTACGAACATAACAGATGTATAGTGAAGTACATACATAACTAATGTATAGTAAAGTACCAACATGACAGATGTATAGTGAAGTACATACATAACTAATGTATAGTAAAGTACGAACATAACTAATGTATAGTAAAGTACATGGATGGATTGCTGGGCCATGTGAGTGTCTGCATCCGCCCAAGCAGAGCATTGTATTCTTTCATGCTTGATGTAAGAATGAATGAAACCATGCGCGATACACTCATATATACACTCGTATATACACTCATATATACACTCGTATATACACTCATATATACACTCGTATATACATTCATATATACACTCGTATATACACTCGTAAATACACTCGTATATGCACGAGTGTAGGGGTTCGCTGCTCCATACCACTCGTGTGTTTTAGGGACCAACTGACAATTCAGATGTTGCGTTGCATATTGATATGCATTAGTCAATGTCGGTGCTAATTTTACGTACTAAACTATGGGTTGTATATGTATGTAAGAGGTTATCTGTTAATTGTAATCTTTGTGATATATATTAATACATAAATAAATAAATAAATATATATATATATATATACATATACATACACACACACACATATGTATATACAAACACACACATATATATACACACAAACACACACATACATACATATATATATATATATGCATATACTATATATACATATATAAATATATATATATATATATATATATATATATA